GACTCAACCCAAACAGCACATCCTGGCCCTTGAGCACTCACTGAGGCCCCTGGAATCTCAGGGGATTGTCCATGATGGAGCAGAGTGGGCCTCTCTGCTCTGTGTAGCCCTGAGGTATCCCAGGGCAGGCAAATGGGACTGGGTGTTCATGGTGCCAGAAGCTTCTCCCACCCTGCTGAGGCACAGAACAAGCCAAACTGGCTCCCTGCATGCACACATTTCTACCTGGACTCAAGCCCTCCTCAGGAATCTCAAGCCAAGTGGCTGCCATTTCCCTTGGTCCAGGCCTCCCCAAAGGCAGCTCTCCAATGCACCCACCCTCAACACATGCCCTCCTTCCTCCCCCAGGCACACTCACCGCTGCAGGTGCTCCTGTGCGCCTGCCTTCTCCTCCTCATAAGCATCAAACCGGCAATATCTAGGAGACACCATAAGAAGGTCACACACACTGTCTATATGTGACACCTACAGTCCCAATGGTCTCTCTGAGCAGAGAATGGAGCTCAGGATGACAAGGATTTCCCTGTTCTTTCACTGAGTGGTGCCAAGCGTCTGGAAATGCATCCCCACACAAGATGAAGAGCCCACTAGCTTCCTCCCCCACACACACCTCAATGGCCATGGGATCTCTCAGTGTTTCCCTTGGGCTTCTTTTTGAGGTTCAGGTAGGTCAAGATGCCCAGATGGAACATCAATCACCACTGTCAATTTGGAAAATGCTTTTCTTGAGGTCTTATTCATAGGAGCCCTTGATGTAGAGAAGGGGGCCTTCATGAGAAGGGGCTTCTCCCAGCTCCGCCCACAGCCCTGCGCTCCCTGGTGTGTAAGGTCATGATGTGGACAGGCCTGTTCAGGGCCCATCCCACCGCTCCAGCCTCAGGCAGTGAGGATGTTGCTCCTAGCATGCCAGTAGTCAGGATCCAAGCAGATCCTCACTGGTGCAGCACATGCCAAGGCCTAGCCAGTGGGCCCATCCCTAGGATCAGAGGTGGCACTTACCTATTGAACAACAGGTTCAATACGTGATGGGCGGTCGTGAAAGTGCGGTATGTTTCCAGAAATACTGGGATAAACAAGGAATCTCCGAAGAGCAGGGAAGGCACTAAGTGGTCTACTAGCTTCTCCACTTTGCCTCCCTGCAGGTATCCAGCCATGCAGGGATCAGGAAGGGTTGGGGCTAAAACCCACCCAAACTGGGTGAAGAAATGATACACAAATCAAACATGAAACAGCAGCACATTGGGAAAAGGCTCAGGGCTATACAATGAAAATAACCTGGGGACACACACACACAAACACAATCATGTATTTACACCCCACTCGAATGTCAACACATATGGGGTCTGAGGCTGCCAGAAGGTAGTGGGTGAGGGGAGTCTCCCTCCCCCCTCCACACCCTCCCTCCTCCTTGACTCACCTGTGTGATGCATGGTGGTGTTCTGCTCTGGCGACTGGGACAAGGGATGACCCAGCGCCTTTGTACTATATCAAACTCGTTTTGTGTGGTTGTTCTGCGGAATAGCCGGCAACAGCAGGAGAACATCCTGCTGCCCCTAAGCTTTGCATACAACTCAGCTGGCTCAGCCGCACAGCATTATTGGTGCTGGTAACCAGCACTAACTCCTGCCTGGCCCTTTGTGATGACATCTCTGGAGAGGACATCATCAATGGCGGGAAGTCCCCTCTTCTGAACTCAGCCTCAGACCAGACCTCTGCAAATGTCCCCTGGGTGCTGGCTGGGCCAAATGGCAAGTCAGGAGCCAAACTAGATACACTCCACAAACACAACCAACTGTCCTCTGTCCAGTTAATGTTGTGGTTATGAGGAAACACTTACTGGGTTCACACCCGACCCCTCGTTCCAGTTTAAATGTCACCCCGTGTACAAGTGCCTGTGCTTGCCTGCCTCCCCCAGTCACCCACTCTTTCCTAGTGCTTCTACCCAGCACCTGCTTGAGTATGTCATACACTGCATAGGACCCTGTATCCATGCAATGCTTGGGAATCCTGAGAGCTGGTTTTAGTCATTTTCACTGCACTCTTGTAGAGATCAATTCCCTGCACATTGTGTCTAGACAGAGAATAAACTGCAAACCACTTGTCTTGGTCTCCCATTTCTGCATGGGGAACTTCTGGGAGGAGGATACGAAGTTCAAGGCTACTCTGACCTAGGCAAGAGATACTGTCTCAAATCCATGCAAGCCAACTATGAACAAAACATAAAGGAAAAACAAGACCTGAGCTCTATATGGGGATGAGAATTTCACAAGTGCACACATAGATGAGGTCTTCTCTATTTGGAAGCCTGCCCATGACAGAGTCCCTTGTGAAACACACACATGGGGACACACATTCATCCACACAGACAGTGGCACACATCTGTATTCCTGCATATGGCTCCTCACATGCACGCATTGAAGTGAGATGCTGAATTCAGCTCTGCCTGCCACAAGGTCTGTGTGCTAAAGAGAGGGTGGGTGAGAGGTGGGGCGTTTGCTCAGTGTCCTGTATCCTCAGCTCTCCACTCTTCTGGAGAATCAGAAAGGTTAGCAGCCTGGGATCAAAAGAATTTGAGGCTAATCTCTGGGCTCACTTGGTGGATTCATGGAGTGACCAGTGAGGGCATGGACAGCCAGTGATTCCTGCACCATGTTCACTGACGTAGAGGTGGAAAGGGCACCAAGGGATCGGGCTACTGGAATGGAATGAACACAACTCAGCTCCTAGGGCTGAGAATTTTCTGC